CTTTAATACTTCTTGTAGAGCAAGTCTGCTGGTAGCCAAATTTCTTAGATTTTGTTTGTCTGACAGTATATTTATTTCACCTTCATATGTGAAGGATATTTTCACTGAATATAGAATTCTGTATTTTGTTTTGTTTTGTTTTTTTCACTTTAAGGTAACGTTTCATTGTCTTCTGGCTTGCATTAGTTATAATGGTATATCCAGGGAATTCTTAAATCTTTTTTCACCTATATCTAATAATATGCCTGTTTCCTTTTTGGCCACTATTTTTTTTATGATTCCATGCTTTTTATCTTTTATATTTTTAACTTTTTATTTTATACTGGAGTATAGTTGATTAACAATGTTGTGTTAGTTTCAGGTGTACAGCACAGTGATTCAGTTATACATATACATGTATTTATTCTTTTCCAAATTCCTTTCCCATCTAGGTTGTAGATAATATTGAGTAGATTTCCCTGTGCTATACAGTAAGTCCTTGTTGGTTATCTATTTTAAATATGGCCACCATTAAGATTGTTCTCGCTATCATTGTTTGCCAGCAGTTTGATTGTATTGTGCTTTGGTATGGCTTTCTTTATGCTTATCCTGTTTGGGTTCCAATGTACTTCTCAGATCTGTAGGTTTATGGTTTATATTAGATTTGGAAAAATTTTGAACACTATGTCTTCAAATAATTTTTGTGCCTACACTCCCTTTTCAGGGAGCCTTTATTCTAGGACTAGACCAGCTTTATTTCTAATATGCAGCCTTTCTAGGTTCTCCTCTGAAGAGTCTGTATGTTCAGTAAGATACCTTCACTCTGATAGCATAGAATGCATGTCTTCTAACCCTACGCAAGCTCCAGTAGTTATGCAGTTTACAGGTCCTAGGTAATTACTCTTTTCCCAGCCTTGCAGAATTTCACCCCACTTATTTGCAACTTAGTGAAATATTTAGTTTCAGGCTCAAAGGAACACCTTTGCAGATTTTTTTCTTTTGCTTTTATCATATTCGTATTTTGGTTGGTTTTCCTAATTAGTGTATCATAGAAAAAAATGCATTGTTTGTTAATGGTTCACTTCGTTTCCTTGAAAAATACCGGAACTTTTAGGAAAAAAAGACTTCATTTGTTTCTTAAGAATTTAGTAATTATCAGTTAACTATAGGATTTACAGAAACTCAAGACTTTAAAAGAATAGTGCAAGTAAACTGAGATCATTCTCCTTTAAACTACCATGATAGTTTCTGCCACAAAAATTTTTGACAGATGAAGGATGAAACAAATGAAACAGTTATTTTTGAGTGGCTCTAAGAAATTCTGTTGTAGAAGTTTTAAGTTGCCAATATTTGGTGTAATACCATGCTGCTTGATGTTAATGGATAGTGTTGTAGGAATTAGAAGGTAGTTAACTTCTGTAATAGAAAACAAAAAAATAATTGTGAAATAGCATACACTTGACACTACCCCCCACCCCGCTGCCCATATTCCCTGTGTCCTATCAAAACTCTATTGTGTCCTACCTGCCAGGTACCTGGTTATTCCCATTTCTTTCCCTTGGGTCATTACATAAACTAGTAAGGTTTAAGGTAACGTCCAAAAGAGACGTAAAAGTGGAAACGAAAGACTTTAAGGGCTCAAAGACAGACAATAAGATGAACTGATAAATGATAGGGCTGATAGTTAAGTGTAAACAGTGAGAGTATGTAAGGAGGCTGTTGCAGCTTAAATAGGATGGCGGTCTCTACACAGCAAGCATAAATAAGTGAAATCCTCTAGGTTATGTCCCTCACACTATGTCAGCTTATGAAATATTTTGAAGCTCGTTCCTGTGTTGCTCCCTCTTCTCCAGTACTCAATAAAACAGATTCCAGCTGCCTTAGCCAGTTTGAACTCCATTCTCTGTGTCTCATCTCGCTGAAGCCCTCGTTATCTGTGCTCTGCTTGAGTTCCCCCTCTCTGTGGTGGGGCCTGCTAAATATCTTCAGGCAGAAAGTCAAGTAATTTTAGAGAGCATTGGGTCTCCTCCTCTTAGGGATCACAGTTCTCTGTTGTCCATTGTCCAGTGTCTGGGAACAGTTGTTTCATATACTGTCTAGTTTTCTAGTTGTTTACAGGGGGAGAGATAGTGCAGTTCCAGTTATTCAGCTATGGCCAGAAACTGATTTTCTAAAAACGTTTTTAAAGCTAATGAATTAAAAACCAAAACCAGGAAACACCACACACCCAGAGTATTGAGTCTGCATATAAGGTTGCTCTTAAGCTTATAAATTGTGTGAGTTTTCAGATACATGCATGTGGCATTTGGGCGGGGAATGCTGAATTCCAGAATACCAGTTGAGTCTCAACATTATACTATAGTCACCACAAAAGTTTTTAAGGCATTTTTCTTAGAGATTTTCAGGAAATATTCCTTTGTAATAGTGCTATGAATAGATGTTGAGATACAGGAAAAAAGAATGGAATTATACTGGCCGCAGTACAAATCTAGGCCAAAAAGACTCTCAGAATATTTAATAGACCTTAGAGAAATACAAGGGCGTACTTTACCTTTTAGGCAAAATCATTATTTTTTTAATCAATCTAGCAATATCAGAAGTATATCCATTTGTAGATGGTAAGAGCTATTTGCAAAGTGTTGCGAGTTTTCTGGCAACATATTTCCCTTTCAAGTTTAAAATTCAAGGTAAACATTAGTACTTGTATATTTTTCATACATCTGAAAATATTTATGCTTAATATTTTATCTAAAACATTCTACTTTATATGCAGTATGTGATAAAGATATTACTTGGTAGAAATTAAGAGGTAAAATTTCAATTTTCTATTAACATGTTGCTTATAATAATGAGAATATAAACTCCAGAAAAATCTCTTAGTGGACCAAAAAACCTTCACAGATAATTTATAATTTGCTTAATTAATTTAAATTTAAAAGGCAAATAACTAATAAGCAAATGAAAAACATCTTTAACATCAATAGCAAAAAGAGACTTTTCTAAAAAACTGGATTGTTCAAAATTCAAATCCTGATATTTCTCCTCAATCATTTTTTTTTGCTAGCCTTTCCAATCTCACTGTTTGCTTTTATAACCCACTGTTTCTCATACTAGAAACCTGGCATCATCTCTGACACTTCCTTTCACACAGGACAACCAAGCCATCATCATATTTTATCAATTTCACTCCTAAATTCCTCTTTGCACTCTTCTCTACTACCTTAAGCCAAGCCACCATTACTTTCCATTGGGCTACTATTCTGTCTTCTCTATACAAATTTGTCCTATGCAAGTCCCTTTTCTGTACAATATTGTTCAAAATCTTGCATAGTTTTATATTTTTTCTTAGGAAAAAGCCTCTAAAAGTTAACAAGGCTTATAAGGTCTGGCTATTCCTTACTCTCCAGCCTCATGAGTTCATGATCCACTTGAGTACATGTGGCATCTGCACATTTGCTACCTGATTCTCACCAAGCTGCAGTGGTGACCTTGGCATGTGTAGTTCCCTCAGTCTTGAACACTCTTGCTTCTCTTTTCCCCTGGCTAGCATCCTCCATAAATGACATCCTTCAGGCAAGCCTTTCCTGATTCCTCCCTCACAAGTTTCAGCGTAATTATAATTAGTTGGTTACTTATGACTTGATTAATATCTGGTTTGCTAGTTAGATGATAAGTTCTATGAAGCCAGAGAACATATTTCTATTGTTCATTTGGGAAGTCCCAGAACTTTGAGTATTTCCTGATTTATAGAGGATGCTTGATAAGCAATGATTTAGGCATGATTAAATATTATACAAGAGAAAGGTGCTTTCAAGGAGTTGTTCAGAAATGGACACTCTTAGTCACTGTTATGAAAGCATAAATTCTTGCAAACTTTATGCAAATCAATTTGAAATTGTTTTTCCAAATCTTTAAATGTTTGATTTCTTTGACTCTGTAATTCCAAATCTGGGAATCTATCCAAGGGAAGTATTCAGGTATACAAATATTTAGTGTACAGTGTATTTATCTGAGCGTTATTTACAGTATTAAAAAGTTGGAACTCCTCAAACATTCAATAAACAGAGATTAGCTTAAATAATATTTTGGAAGATTTATTGGCTTATTATCAAAACATTTTCATAGCATTATGACATAAAAACCTTCAATGAATCTTCATGTAAATGTTTTTGAAAGAGAAATTCAATTATAGGGGAGAGTTTAAAGTTTAAATAAAAAATAAAATCATTTGGAAAAAACATAAGGAATCCTTAATTTTAAATGATAATCATGGCATGTCACCTCCATGTTATGAATCTCATTTAAATAGTAGCACAGATCAGGTCAAAAAAGAAAAAGAGAAAAAAAAGTATAGGTAAACAAAGTTACTCCACAAAATTTCATACAAATGATGGCTGTTTGTGGATGAGAATTAGCATTTATCCTCCATTCTTGTACACAACAAATCACAAACTAGGGATGTTTAAAGGTTCTGAGTTCTGTTTTTAGAACTAACACATTATCTTTGAATTGTTTTGTATTGAACATAACCCTGTCATTCTGATCTGTTAGTTAACATTCCATGTCATGATCTTTCTGTCATCACACTCTTTCCTGGGTGGCATAGGAGATACAGAGCATGTATAAGATGTAGTACCAGCCTTCACATTGTTCATAGGATCATTGCATAGACAACATAGACACACATAGCCTTTAAAATAATAATATGTTGTTAAAGAATAAATGATTAAGGGACACAAAATAAGGTTATAGACATCAAGTGTTCAAAGGAGGTTGGAGGAGACAAGGATAAACGTGACTGTATGGTTTGTGGACAGCTTCAGGAGAGAAGGAGAACTTCCTATGGCATTTGCTGTGATTGCAGACTTTCCCAAAGAGGAGATGCCTCATGTTTTGCATCAGGGAGCGTTGACCATTTAGTTTAGAAATGAATGAAATGCTTTTAACAAAATCATGCAAAGTGGATAGTGATTAATGATGCTGACTTGTTAATCTCATAATATTTTATAACTTTTTTATAGCTCTCCGAGACACTGGAAAACAGTCTATTAATAGTGACTGGAAGATTGAACACTCTGGAGCATTCAACTTAGCGGGAACTACTGTCCATTATGTAAGACAAGGTCTCTGGGAGAAGATCTCCGCCAAAGGTCCTACTACATCACCATTACACCTCCTGGTATGAGGGAACGAATCGATAACATTGCATAATCAGCTTCCTATGACAAAGGACATTCCCACCGTGCCTTCTCTTATCTTTTTTCCAAATTTGAATTGTCAAGTAAACATTTAAAATTATTTAAGAGGTGGGTTTTTTAATGTGTTTGAAATCAAGATGTCTAAAAATGGAAATTATTACGAAAGGAACACGATATTTTAGGGAATTCACAGACTCACAGTAGAAGTGAATTAGCAGGCAATAAGGTTCCTCTTTCCCTAAAAGCATATGTTTACTAACCAGAGTGGATGTCTATAAAGAGAGTGCTATAATATGGCAAACCGTAACATTTCATACATCTGTGAAATGGGCATTGCCTGAATCTATAAAATACCTTTGATAAAATGGTATTGGTCCCAGGGGAAAACGTTTGGTAACTATCTAACAAGGCTTCCAATTACCCCATTGTGTTCTTACTAGGTTAAGTGATTCCTGTAAAGAATTATGATAATTTGAATGCTTGGGATAATAAGTTTCTTTACCATGTAGCAGAAGACTAGGTCTGAGTTTGGAGTGAAAGAATCAGGACATTGGGGCTCTGCGCCCTTGCTCATGGCAGGTTCACATACCTCTTTTGACCTTGATCATTGCAGTCAATGCTAATGGCTCAGGAGTTTTTTCTTCTGGTGGCAAAGTCTGAGATTCACACACTTCAACACCTCTTTGAGTCCACACATAAAAACAACTCTAAAATACAGCCAACTGACTGTTTATTTGGAGTGTAGTGTGCCACATTATTTAATATCTCCACACAATTAAAGTTGAATTCTTCCTCAACTGGAGACATCTGTGTTGCCAGTATAGCAGCCAGAGGTTCAAATCTCATACTGGCCCATTTGCTTTTCCTACTTTAACATGCCTGCAAATCACCTGGGGTTCTTGTTAAAATGCATATTCTGGGGAGGAACCTGAGACCTGCATTTCTAACCATCTCCCAGGTGATGCCACTACTGCTGGTTCACTGACCACATTTCAAGTAAGAATGTTTTAGAGAACTGCAGTCAATAGACTTTACCAACAGGAATATGCATAGAGGGAGCAGGGTGAGTTGCATGGGGGCCTTCTGTTCCGAATCTTAATACTAGTAATAATATACACCATCAAGCACTGAGAGTCAGACCCTATCCAAAAGTGCTTTATGTTCATTATAGCACTTAATCCTCAAAATAACCCTGTGTAGTATGTATTATTATTACTCCATTTTACAGATTAGAAAACACTAAGTATGTAAAAGGTTAAATACTGTGCTCAGTGCCTCCCAGTAAGTTACTTAGCTTTGAATAAACTAGGTGTTAATCCATCTTCTATGCTGCCTCTCCTGATGCAAAGCTTAAATCTAAGTTCTTTACACCAGACAGCCTTGGATCATGAGTATGCATATACTTTAAATAATTATTTTGTTCATTTCCCCACCGTTCCTCTGGATCCTTTTATTTAATTTAAATTGGAAACTCCAGTCTGTGCCCTCTGCCATCTGGAGAGAGGAAAAAACAAATGACTAAACAAACATTGTATGACCAATATCTGCCTTTTTCCATGACTGGGTCACTTAGAATGACAACATTATCAACAACAAACATTTGTATAATGATTGGGTTGCAGAAAACGCCATCAGGTTGCCTCCCTTATTACATTAATGTAAACTACGTTTTTTTTAATGGAAGAAGGCTGAGCCTCTTTTAGTGAGCCTCCAATTCAGAATCTTAAAACAATATATGTGAGACCTCAGTGTTGGGCAGAGGGAGTTTCCTTGCTGCAGAATCCTTAATCTGACTGGTAATTACCAAGGTTTTTCCTGGAAGCATGAAACATAATTAAAGTCAGTGAACTATGTCTAAAAGAAGGCATCTATGTGACCTGGATTTATTCAGTAATCCAAGGAAAACTGCACTTCTAAGATATTTTTCTTTAATGACTATTACAGATTGAAAGCTGGTACTGAATTTTGAAAGGCAATACCTTCTGCTGCCATGCTTCAGTATGTGCCCCTCAACTGTAACGCGGTCACACTTTCCTTCTTGCAAAGAATACTGCCAAGTTCAAATGGTTTAAGAAAGAGCTAATGATTTTGTAGCCAATGTCTTTATTTTAAATGGCATTAGGTATTCAAGGACAATCTAAAGTTCTATCGATGAAAAGGTAGTTTTTTAAGAAAAAAAGACATGATTTCACTTAATTAAATAAGTTGGCAAATAATTTATTTATATGTTCATTTCATCAATTTGAAAATCATGTAATAGTCTGGTTATTTCCATAAACAAGGTGAGTCCATCTCTCTCTTTTTTAACTCATTTAGCTGAAAAGTCACTGGCAACATGAAATGAGATATTTAAAGCCAAAATAAGCACTGTGATATACTTAGAAGTAGTATCCAGTATGTTAGTATACATGAATTTTTAAAGTATTATTTTTATTGTTGATATAGTTGATTTATAATGTCATCATACTAGTTCCCCAATCCACATATTAAAATGTATCTTAGTATTTCTGATAATATATTGAGGCAGAATCTTAAGAAAAAGAAGTAAAGAAAATTAACCCTGGGCTCATTTAAATTTTTTCCTATTAAGTGTTAACTCTGTAACCTGTCATTACAACCACCTTGATACAGATTAAATATTTAAGTTTTCTGATACTTCAACATAATTTAAAATTTAGATATATATGTTTTTATACATCACAGCGTGTCATATAGGCTGCTTCCATAAATCCTCAGATCCATAGAAGTGATATATTCCATTAGTTTGTTTGACATATTTGGTGAAAATGTATTTATAAAGAAACATATATTCTCATTCATTCTTTTATTTAAAATGAGTATATTTCAGGTATTTTTCTTTCATTTAAAATATGTATGCTTGCCCATGATGATGCAGTTCTTAGCTTGATACTGGGTACCATGGGAGAGCAAAGCAGACATGGTCCCTGCTTATGGTTTAGTCCATGTAGCCCAAAGTTCAATCATTCTCATACATCCTTTATGGTTTCTTACACTGTTTACATATGTGTACATAACTGTACCATTATTAAGTTAATTTGCAGTTAGAAGTTCTTTTTAACATAAATTTCTTTTCAAAGGAAATGATCTTTATTATAAATGGAAAATTAGTAACCTTGCCAAAGTTAAACTGTAAGCATACATGGAATAAAATTCTTGTCCTCTAATTGGCTTAGAAGTTCTCTACCCTTATGGAGTGAAATGATTTCCAAAATCTTCTCTTCCTCTGTTGACACAGCGACTTATTATTCATCTTTCTCTTTTATATGAGTGGAACGGCTTCATTTGATATTAGATCGTGGGTTATATCTTGATGTTATGTAGGACACATGTCCCTGTCCCCCCTACTAAAGTCATCTCATACTTGTACCATGCTTTGAGAGACTGTCTAGTCCATCAACTTGGGAGAAAGTGATGTGGTATCTCTGACCTTATTCAGGTGGGCTATTTTTTCATGCTGTCTTTAGCTCAAAGGTAAGTGTGTAACTCCAGTGATTTCAGAAGTAGGACAATTTTAACATTTAAGCATAATATCTCAAGTCTACTATGTATTAAAGGAGCGTGCACACCATGCAAAACGCATTTTAAGGTATTCCTATCCTTAGTTTTATGCTTTACATTGAATATGCTCTACTTTGATCCATCTGCCTTGATCACTTTTATATATTATAGGTGCTGCTGTTTCAAGACCAGAATTATGGTCTTCATTATGAATACACTATCCCATCAGACCCTGTACCAGAGAATCAGAGCTCCAAAGCACCTGAACCCCTTTTCATGTGGACACACACAGGCTGGGAAGATTGCGATGCCACGTGTGGAGGAGGTGAAGTATTTTTCAGTATTTACCTTTCCAAAACAGCTTCTTTTCTGATTAACCATTGATAATTAAGACAGGTCCATAACCCCTTATCTAAAATTTCAGACTCCATAAAGGATTGGAAACTGAAAGTTTTTTGCGACACGTTTAGTGCCTAAATCCCTGAACTATTTTGCAGCAAAAACTGGCATGAATTGAAGAAAGGCTATGTACAGTTGTTACGTATGTCACTCAATATGGTCACTCATTGCATTGCTTTGCATAAATATTAACACTTATGGGGGCTGCCCTAGACACCATACAGGTTGTTATGTCATATACTTACACTTTTATATTTACTTGGGACACTATACCATTTAGAGTTCAGAGAGATGGGAAGAAACCAACAAAGCATATTAAAATAAGTAGCCAACAACATTGGAGAAAAAACATGCAAATGAGAATGCTTTTCTGTAAGGCAAGTGAGAAAGTATTTATTACAAGAAAGAGAGAATGATCAACTGGTATCAAAAGCTGCTAATAAGTCAAAAATAATGTGCATTGAAATTGACTATTACATTCAAATATATTTATTGTATTTCAAAAGATATTATATTTTTATATTTGAAACATAGAGGTCAATGATGACTCTGTCAAAATTACTTTTAATGATTTGGCTCAAAAGACTAAGTGGAGTGAATTCAAGAGAAAATAGCATGTGATGAATTGAAGAAAGGACTAAAGGTAACAGGAAATTTTGCTGAAACAAGAAAGCAGAGAAATGTGGCATTAGCTGGAAGGGAATATGAATCAAAGAGTTTGTTGTTGTTTTTAATAGGGGAAATTATACATGATGATTTCCCAATGTGAGTTTTCTAGAATAGAACAGAAAACTAGTGGTGCAAAGGAGAGAGCAAAAAATTTCTGGAGTGATATCCTTAAGTTGGCAGGATGGATGGAATGGAATAGTTGGCTTTGGATAGAAATATGGAGAGCCCATCACTAGTAACAGGAGAAAATACAGTATTTTGAACAGAAGCAGATGTTGGAAACTTGTGGTGGTACTCTTTTGGTTGCATCTATTTTATCAGTAAAGGCCATTTTGCTGCTATTAAAGGTGAGAAAGGAGATATGAGAATTTTGAAAAGAGAGGAGATGTGAAGTGGTCACTTAAGAGAGTGAGAGAATGAATGAAATGGTACATGTATTTTGACTTTATGGTAGCATTGATGGTCCACTTGAAGTTGACAGTCATGAATTTAGCTTGACGTACATATCATAATGATACTTACCCTCCAGCTATGTACAGCATACAGATGCACTTGTGGTACAAGTTTTGGAATTCCGTGTGAGTATAATAAAACAAATGGAGAATCCGCTTGACCTGAGGTTGTATGTAAGGAGTTGAAAATGATTGGCCATGGGATTTAGTTGTATAAGGAGGAAACTAAAAATACAAAGGACTTTGAAAGACAGTGAAAAGGTGGTAGCACTAATGGATTTTAGGGCCTGGTGGAGTTAAAGAACTTTTGGACTCAGGGTACTTAAGGGAGAGGGCTGGAAATACAGGAGATGGTGACAGAAAATAGAGCTAAGAGTATGGAGGGGATATAGTTATTAGTAATAACAAGACCAGGAGAGTTAGTGGCTTCAGTGAAGTGAAAGTACAGATCTTTGGGAAGAGAAGTGTGCCTGGAACTGAGAGGCCTCAGTGTTGGAAGAATCGTTCAAATGGCTATAATAATTACCAAAAAAATGTGTTAGTAGCAGTATTAGAAAATAGAACAATAATCCAGGAGATAAAATCTTAGAGTAAAAACAGAGATTGAATCAGGGGTTGGTGTTCGGTTACGGCAAGAAGGGGACTGCACTGCATAGTCTGCTCCAAAGCTGTAGGTTTAGGAGGAAGGAAGGGTGAATGGTCTGGTGGTGACAGCGAGGGGCATGGACACCCATGCTCTCTAGATGCAAAGGTATGGGGTGTAAGCAAGAAAATGGCCACCCCACTGGCGGCGGTAAAGGAAGCAAGAAACAGTGTCCTCAGGAGAGAGGAAAAGGGTACCGGGAACATCCAGAGGTTTGGAGGCTGGGGAGGAACAGCTTTTGCTGCAGCACTTGGAGCTCTGGGGTCACCAGAGCAAAGGCAACATGGTGGGCAGGGGAAGGGAGACATTATAAAGAGCATACTTTGCTCCCAGGGGCACAGAGTAATTATAACAAAAGGATTTCTAGTCACTCACAATTTAAAAGCTTGTAGCAATCACCCTTGGCACAATGAAATTTTCATTGGCCATGTTTCCCTGGGGTCCCATTATCACCATGTGACTTGGGATCCTGTGTCCTCAGTCCTCTCCTGCTGATGACCCCATGTACACCCAAATTCCTATTCCTCTGCTTCTCCCATTTCTTACTGATGTCAGGGCCCATTTCATTTAAGGGGTTCTGATTCACATCCCCTATCCATAAAAAAACAAAAACACAAATAGAAACAAACACATTTAAAGTGAAGATCCACAGAGTTAGAACTTTCTTCTTTAATATAACTCAGCCGCCATTCCATGATGGGTTATCTGGAAATGGAGCAATGAAAAGGTTGCTGGTTCCTGTTATTGCACTGAAAGGCAGTCATTAAAATCTGTTTACATCTGAGACTCTAGACAGGAAAATGTTTGCCCAGTGAATTTTATTATACTCATTTTTTTTTTCATTCTGCCATAATTGTGGTCTAGTAAAAGCTTCGGAAGTAAACATACAGAACTTGTCAGTCTTCAGTTTGAACAAGCGAATTTTTAGGGTTAAAAATTTTTTCCAAAATCACATTAATTGCAACCTAGAATATGTTTTGTTAATTGTCAGGCCTTAAGAAATAGAGGTTCAATGTAAATTATTTTAGTTTCAAGGTCAGAAGGGCTTTTAGATATTCTTAAGCATAACTTCATAATTATTAACATGAGAAAAGTGAAGTGCATTAGAGATTGAGACTTCCCAAGGTCACAGGCCCAATGTGGGAGGAGCCAAGATTAGAATCCAGGACTCCAGAGTTCAAGTCTTCTTTCCTCCATGTTATATACTTCCTTCAAGAGCAGTTCAGGGGTTTAGTGTCATTTCTTTCCACAAAGTATGTATAGCATGTCCCTTAGAGATTACATAGGTTTTATTTGTTTTTTTTTAATTAATTTTTATTGGAGTATAGTTGCTTTACAATGTTGTTAGTTTCTACTGTACAGCAAACTGACTCAGCTGTATGTATACCTATATCCCCTCTTTTTGGGATTTCCTTCCCATTTAGGTCCCCACCGTACATTAAGTAGGGGTTCCCTGTGCTATACAGTATGTTCTCATCAGTTATCTATTTTATACATAGTATCAATAGTGTATATGTGTCAGTCCCAATCTCCCAGTTCCTCCCACCCCCCCTTTCCCCTCTGTATCCATACGTTCTCTACGTCTGTGTCTCATTTATACTTTACAAATAAGATCATCTATACCATTTTTCTGGATTCCACACATATGCGTTAATATATGATATTTGTTTTTCTGACTTCACTCTGTATGACAGTCTCTAGGTCCATCCACGTCTCTACAAATGACCCAGTTTTGTTTCTTTTTATGGCTAATATTCCACTGCATATATGTACCACATCTTCTTTATCCATTCCTCTGTTGATGGACATTTAAGTTGCTTCCATGTCCTGGCTATTGTAAATAGAGCTGCAATGAACATTGGGGTGCATGTGTCTTTTTGAATTATGGTTTTCCCTGGGCATATACCCAGAGAAAACCATAATTCAAAAAG